AAAAAAAAAAAAAAAAGTGAGCTAGAATCTGGCAAATTCAGGATAACAAGATGCTGAGATAGATGCTAGCATTTGTAATTCTGAATATAGTCATTTGCTCTGAAAACTCTTGAAAATGAGGTAGTGAGAAATTGGCAAGTATCCATACTGCCCGCTTCCTTATATTCATGCATGTGGATAGCAGAGGCCAGCCAAAAACCTAGCAAAAAAAATTTATAATTCCTTCTTAATCCATCTGAACTGAATTACAACCAGGTTTCCAAAAAGGCTACTTTTATTTTGTTGTTATAATAAAAAGAAATTATGAAAATGTAGAAAATACTTGAAGAGCTCACTGAACATCATTTTCTGCTGATCATCACAAAAATACTTATTTTTCTTAAAATATATTGGAAATGGGAAGTCTGATTTAATGATGTTTTGTCAGGCTTAGCCTGATACTTCCAAATCCGCTAACTAGACAAAGTAGTAGAAGATTTTTTTTTTTCCCTTTCCCACTTACACACAATAAAAGCAAGTATTGATTCTGAGTTCACATGTAATAAAGGCATTACTAACAATGGTCTGATTTTATGCACTGATATTAAAATGTTCATCTTTATTAACAATTAACTTGCTGCTTGGAATGATCTGGGCATCAGCCATAGTCTTGCAGAACACGGAAAACAGTTTGCAGAGTCAAAATATGTTGCACACAGGCACTGAGTCTTCCATGTTGAATTTAAACATGTGACTCCACTCTTTTGCTGTAGGTGATATACGCAATGACTTATACCTGACATTAGAAAAGGGAGACTTTGAAAGAGGTGGGAAAAGTGTGCAGAAGAACATTGAAGTGACCATGTACGTGCTCTATGCAGATGGAGAAATCTTGAAGGTAAGTGCTTATTTCCTCTGAGCTTCAGGTGCCATCTGCTTGCTCCATGGACATGTTCTCTTGTTGTGTTCTCTCTGATGCAAGGGAAGTGCTAAACTAAAACTAGATCTTTTTTTTTTCCTTCCAAGTTTTTAAACTATAAATTTGAAAGAATTTGGAGCACTTCCCCTATATGGGAATAGGGGACTTGGAGAAAATACTCATAAACTGAAAAGCTTATGTAATTTCAAAGTGTGATGTCAGTGGCTATAGTAAAAGGAAAATTTAGAGTAACCGTAGTCAGAAAGAACTGAAGAGCGTATGACAAATACCTAAAATTAAATAATGTGTGTCGTACAACATGATGAAATGTGATTACAAGAGAGACTTTTAAATCTGAGTTGTTGGAATTATGGTACTGAATGTAGTTTTGGAAAATAAATTTGAGCAGCTGTATTGCCAGGATCTTGGCTTTCACCCTGGGATGGCTCCATTCCAGCTGTAGATGGTGATGTTTAATGTTTTTCTTTCTTTCTCTGCTCTTGCTTTTAATATTACTGAAGAGAAGAAGGTAGATAAGTCAGCTTTGTGTGAGGTGGGAGGGTGGGAGGACAGAGAACTAAACGGGAAGTATTTTGACATAAGCATCTATCAGAAATGGCTGCATTAAAATGTATTAATCATAACTTGCCCTTACCTTTCTTTTTACCTCCACTGCAATAAAATGGCCTTTGTAGCCAGAAGAGTCTAAACACCAAAGTGCTTGTGTACCGAACTCATTTCTACAGTTTTTTTTTTTTTAATTGAAAGGAGAACTTTTCCTCTATTACTACAATTGCTTGTGATTTCATTAAAAGTAAAGTATATCTCCTGTAAGGAACTGGTTTGTGCTCATAGCTGTTGCAGGAAGATCACAAGCCTTTTCTGTTTAATTGCATTAGGCATACCTTTCAAATTGAGTGACATATTTTTAATCATCGTTTTATTTCACAGCAGTCTGCCAAAGACCAGTGTAGGTCTTTACCCTCCAAACTGCAATATCAGCATCTTCAGATGCTAATGTACATAATGGTAGCTAATTGTACTGTAACTGTGGCTGATGATTAAGTATAAAAGCCATATAATTTCTAGACATTATCAGTCTTAACTACTTCTGTGGTTTTGGTTGGAATAGTCATTCACAGATACTAAGTTATCTTTTTCTTACCCTTGCCTGTTATTACTACTGTAACAGTACTTCAGGGCTTTACGTGGGATAGTGGAACAGACATGGTACAAACAAACAAAGGCTGGTGAAAGTTAGTCAATATGATTAGAAAAAATTCAGGTGAACATTTGTCATAAAGGAGAGACTTTACATATAAAGGATCTTTTGTGGTTTTTAAATTTAAACCACATATTTAAAAGAAAATCTTTATACCAGTTTTTATGTTATTGCTCCTCTGTACAGTTGCAGTCAAAGCAACAAAGATACTTCGTTTACGTCAGGGAGATCTTTGGTTCATGATGTCTAATGATGCCTAAGATCCACTGTATTTCAAACATGCGGACAGTAGAATTTTTCTACATAGGAAATACTCAAAGGTACAAGCTATCACGTCTGCTGAAAAATAAGTAAAAGGGTCATAAAGGACAATAGAAGTTGAACTCTCCTTCCCTTTAATTTGAACTCCTCACTGCTTAGGTACATTTGTGTTCTCTCTTAACTGCAGAATAGAACTAGAAAAATAACATACAAAACTGAGTATCAGTTGAACTGAATATAAGAGGCATAGTTCAAAAGTGCTAAGTGATAATTTGAAGGAATAATCACATGCACATGAGAGAAAGAAGCAGCTACTTAGAATTGCATTCGCAAACTAATCATGTCTCCTCTTTTTTCATCACTGCCATAGTTTCTACACGATTTACAAATTCTGCAAATTCATCTACCAAAGTTAAAGCAAATGAGACAGCCATCTGGAATTACTTCTAATTTAGCGGGTTATCTTACCACTCAGTGGTAATGTCCTTGTCCTTGTAGAAGACAATTGACCCTATTAATTGTATATGGCTGCTCTGAATCTATAGAAATGCCCTGAAAATTGTAAGGATTCAGCTCCTTAAGCTGTAGATTTCCTGTTTGTCTCAACTTTCAGAATGCAGATTTCAGTTGTAAAATGCAGGCAAAGTTGGTGCTCAAAATCTGAGAACAAAGAGCTCCATCAGTTCTAACCATCCGACCTCTGCAATGGGTTTTAGGAAGTCTAGGTACCCATCTGTCTAAAACTTAACACCAGCCTGTTAGTCTGGGTTATTTTAGTATGCCACTAAATGGATACTGTTTTACCTTTTATATTAGGGATTTAATTATAAACCCTAGATGGTTTATTTTTCAGTGCAACCATCTGGTTTATGTAATCTTCGGTATGGACACCTAGAGCAGCGTGTGATACCTGCCATTTTCTGTTAGGAGGGACCTGGTTTTACCCAAAGACACAATATAATTTCATTCAGCTGTAAAGAGACTGCTAGAGCAGGACTTTCATTTCAGTCATTCAGCATAATCTAAAAGAAAATACTAAAGACTGCAACAAGAGGAGTCTCATAACTTTTAAATATAAATGTTAAGAATAAGGTGTGGGCTGGGTGGGGCTTGGTGCAGTACTGATGAAGGGAATGGCTTTCTTTGGGTTCCCTGTCCCCGCATGATCACTTGTGTGACCTGAGGTTGCTTTCACAGTCAAGTGTAGCTATTTTCTTTCTTCTATTTCATTTGTCTAATTATGATGTTAATTTAATAACACTCAGTAGGTGATACAGTAGAGAAGCTAATAAAAAACTCCAATTCAAGCTTACAATAGTATGGGCAGAACGCTGAAGGTCAATCATTGACGCCGAAGCACTACTGTACTTGGTTGAAATATCCTTCGCTGTTCCTGGCCTATGGCCTTTCCAAAGCAGAGACTGCCAAATGAGAAAGTGTGTGCTGAGTTACACGGTACAGTGGGGAAATTGCCACAAAATTTTCATCTGATATTAGAATTAAATCTCTAAACTTTTCCTGACCAGCAGTACAATCCAAATCTGAATTAGGCCTTTGTGAAGACTTTAGCAGAACCATATGCAGCATTAAGGAGAATATTCTGTCTGTCTCAAATCCTTATTGCTGTTGAGTATATCTTGGTCCAGAAATAGTCCTATTGAAAGCAGTGAGATTATTCCCAGAATACAGTGCTGTTCAAAATGAAAAGGAGTATTTCCTTTTCAAAGTGGTCTTACTCAATTGTTAGTGTCTTTCAATATAGTCTGAAAAATAAAAAACCTTGACACATTTCTCACTTATTCTTCTTTCTGTTCCAGTAGCAGGAATATCTTATTAATTGCAAGGCATACCTTAAACGATAAAATTATTACCTGATACTTGCCTAGTTTAGCTTCCCTTACTTGCCTCTGCCCTCTAATTCACCTACATATTTGGATCTCATGGTAACTAGGTGTACGGAGACTAGTTTCATGTTTACATTTTGCAGATCACAATTCAGAATTAAAGATTAAACAATCCTCCCTCCTCAGACTATAGATTGTAGTATAAATGCATAGAAACTAAGTTAACAACCAGAAGGAAAGACTCTTCACCTATTCATTTATTTAAAGTTTATAGCGTGAAACAGCATTCAAAGACCATATGTCTGCCAAGGCAGGTAATTTTTTGGGGCGTCAGAAAAAAGCTTATATTAAAATTTCAATTTTTACTGTACCTTATTGAAGAAATACAAATACTATTTTACTTTCTCCTAAGAACTTAATGCAGAATGAGGTTTCGGAATTGCTGTGTTGAAGCCCAGTAAGTTACTCTTATCACAAAATGTAACTGGGATATTGCAGGCATTCTCTTTTTTAGTACTGCCACCAACCTGTTAATATCCGCAACAGTTAATTCTAGTTGCTGTACTAAAAAAATCACCTTTATGCCAGGATTGTGGCAATACCGTGTGGTTACTAAGACTTACCTGAGAGGACTGAGTTTTGTGAGTATATGCTACAGTCACTCAGTTTGGATTAGAGCCTTTGCAATGAATCTCTGCCCAGGGAGGCTGTTCTTGCATTGAATCCCAAAATTCCAGAGAGCTTTTCTTTCTTTTTGGGCTCCTTCACAAATTCTTAACTTTCTCGAAGCCAGAAGAATATTACCACAGGCCGAACAGACTGGGTCTGGTTAATGGGATATGCTGGACTTGATAGTCCTTTGATTACAGATGAAAAAATCAAATCAACATCGTCAGTATTTTCTTGGGATAGAATTTAGAGATGCCTTGGGGAAATGACCGGTCGTTCTTCTTGTCATGATACTATTCCTTGTGGGGTGTTTTTACATCAGAATTTACATTGCATGTGTCGTTCTGGGTCTGCTTAGCAACTGTTTCTCCCTGGATTCATTATCCTTGGAGATGCTAAAAGTGAAGAATCTCTAAGCTGGCTTTTTTCTGCATGTTTTAATAAGGTGTCGTATCTTTTGGGTCACTTTGTAAGTGCTAGGTCTAGAACATGGGTTAGTGCTTATATAAAAAAATGTGCTTCCTGCTCCATGTCTTCATTACCAAGGACCTTTTACTGTCCTTATTTCAGGACTTCAGTATTTCTCCTAACTTCCTTCGCTCATATTCTGACTAAGGATTTCTGTATTTCCTAAATAATATCAAGTCATATTTTTCTTCATCGGTATTTTGAGAATACATGGATTGGTCAAGATCTCTGAGCTTTTTATATCTAAAAGCAGAAATTTAGATCCCATTATATTTTTAGGTGATGACTATTCAACAGAAATTCTTTGCTTACCACTAGTGAAGTAACTAGATCAGAATTTTCTGGGATACTCGGTGAGGCTGGATGATTGTAGTTTCAAAAGACCAACATTTTTAAGAGCTTGAAAAGTTCAGGTATCACTTCTGCACTGAGATAGTGAAGCAGAAATCTGATTAAATTATATTTTCAGAAAAGTCTAATATTACAAGTGATGGTCCCATTAGGTCCTTTTTTTTTTTTTTGGACTCATCTTTATATATTTGGACTTACGTGTTTATTGTATCTATTCTATGCTTGATAGAAAACTTTGCTTAAATAATAACTTAACTTAAATAATAACAACTTAAGATACGGGAATTCATCCAATACCATAGGTCTCCTAGCTCATTCTTGGACCCAGAACACAGCTTAAAGATCTCTTCAAAAATTTCAGATTTCATTGTCTCTGAGTTTCTGCTTCTGACTCTTCCTTTATGTCTACAGAAATATATGAGTTATATAAAGGTTATCACCGTGTAATAAAATGACTCATCTGTAGTGATGTGATGTCTTTTAATCTTAAATTGTTTTCTTTTGTTCCAGGACTGCATCAGCCTGGGCTCAGGAGAGCCAAGCAGGAGCGCATACCACTCCTTTGTCCTTTACCACAATAACAGCCCTCGATGGGGGGAAATCATCAAGTTGCCCATCCCTATAGACAGGTTCCGTGGGTCTCACCTCCGGTTTGAGTTCAGACATTGCTCCAGTGAGTGCAAAATATAACCAAGAGAAATCCGAAAAAGCTGAGGTCTTTCCATTGTCAATTTATGTTTGGATGAGGCTGTTACTGGGTGGAAAGCAGGAGAGGGGTGCCAACCTAAAACACAGTGAAGGTGCACTGCTAATTAGCCGGTTGCTACATTTATTAACAGCACATTAAAAACATTGTGAACAATCAGTGCGGGGCAAAACATTTTGTAGATGTTCTCCCCTGCTGTTCTTTTGCTGTAGAATGTTTTCCTGTAGAATGTTGTCTTTACAGCATGTACATTTCATATTTTACTATGATCAGCATGTTTACGTTTGTTTTGAGGCTCGTGGATCATTTGCATAGAACTAGACATAGTATATTATATGTTGTTTCTTATGTAGCCTGCATGCTTTTTGTCAGGCATGCAGAGAAGTTAGTGAATAACCTTGTGGTATATATGGGCAGACAGAATATGTGCAAATATGATTCCTTATTTCTATCTCTTGCTACAGCAAAAGACAAGGGAGAAAAGAAGCTCTTTGGTTTTGCATTCACTCCATTAATGAGAGATGATGGCACTACCTTGTCAGATGATATCCATGAGCTTTATGTTTATAAGGTACCACTTCTTCTCTGCAGACTTTTCACCTACTCATCTCTACTTCAGTTTAAATAAATAATCGTCATTACATTATCTTTTTTTCCCTTCATTAGAAGTATGTAAGGAACAGATTAATAGTAGTTTCAAAATTTTATAAATTTGGAATCACGTGACTAGGTATGGATACAGCCTTCTATTCTAGGTATGGCTTACCTTTTCCCTTCAGATAATGAGCATTTACCTTCTGTTAATCCTATCCATTTTGAATTCAAACATACTAGTGTTTATGAGCATTCAGCAGTTTTACCAGCCTATGGCGTTACTCTGTGTATACCTTTGTGTTATGAAATTATGCTGTACTTCAAATGCATCATGTTACAATGCTGCGGCTTGGCAACCCTGTAGCAAGGGGCTTGGGGGGGTTGTTTGGGGTTTTTTCTTCCCACTGATTTACCTTGGTTTATTTCTGCAGTACGATTTTCAGACAGCAGCACTAAGCTGTTCAGTTGGAAGATCATGAAAAGTTCTAAAGAGTCAGTGGTTAGGAGACCACACTTTCTAGAGCTGGGTCTGTTTTGTGTATGTACAGGCCCTGAAGTTGGTAAGCACAGCTTTTTCTTAGAAGTGTTTTTTGTGCACCCAAAAGATCAATAAAAGTACTGTTAGGCAATTGCTGTCAGCGTGTGAGTATGTGGAATGAGATGGACTAGGTACAATTCCATTTCTTGTCCCGTACCTGCAGTGTGATGAGAACAGCACATTTAACAACCACGCACTGTACCTGGGGCTGCCTTGCTGCAAAGAGGACTACAACGGCTGCCCTAACATCCCTTCCAGCCTCATTTTCCAGCGCAGCACCAAAGAGACCTTCTCAGTCTCCACACAGCTTTCTTCTACCAAACTGACCCAGAATGGTAAGTAGCTGATCCTTCAAAATTGCCCAAGACAACAAGGATTATGAAAAAGAGATATAAGATGGGTATGCTTGTGCTCTGTTTATTTTACTAAAATACTCCTTTGTTATAATTTCATTATATGTATGGGGTTTTTTTACTAACACTACTGAAATGAGCAGAAACTGTTTTTTTGAGGAAATAAGGATATTGACGGATGGCAGAGAAATTACGGACATTACTGTAAGTGCAAGAGAAGGGCAATATGTTAAAGCAAAGCTAATCTTCATTAAATGATTGAAGAACAAAAAATTCAATGTTAGCACTTCTACACAATCTAAAGTTTGTTTTGTGCGGCTTTTACAGAGTTACTAAGTAAATAAAAATTTGTTATGGCAACATCCCTGAAGCATGGGAAGACAAAAGTAGATTGTCCACAGTGCGGTGTCAAGTCACATAGGGAAAAATGCAGTCTTTACTCTTTTTAAAGTACTTACCATTCCTCCCTTCATTTCTTTGTTAATAGTATTGGACTTACTCCGTATTTTCCTTCCTGTTTTCCCTTTTTTTTTTTTTTTTTTTCCTGAGAAGTGTGAGCTGCAACAAGAGCAGAAGTGTAACATGTAATGAATCTCCGGTGGGTCTGGGGTTGCCATCCTTCCCTCTGTGTATGGATTCTAGCTCTTTCTCTCACTGTTCTGCAGTGGATTTGCTTGCCCTGCTGAAGTGGAAAGCCTACCCAGATCGTGTGATGGATATTCTAGGAAGACTGAGACATGTCAGTGGCGAGGAAATTGTTAAGGTACTACACGAAATAACAGTCTTTGGATGTATCTGTGATAGCAAGTGAATTCAGACCTGCAGCACACTTCTGAATGTTCCTTCTTACTGCACTTCTTGATTCACGCTGTGAATTCTCAGAATGTATGAATTGGGATTTTATTTTGAAATAATGAAACTGAACAGGAAGATACACTCCAAAAATTAATGGATAGTTAGTCCTCAGGATCAAAATAGAGCTAATCCTTAGCAAAATTCCCTCACCACGTGTGCTGTGAGTGTCAGGTCCTCAGCACCAGTTGTTCCACTCTGCAGGCCCGCTCCTGCTGAGCCACACTGCTTGCTGATGTAGACATACCACTGGTAGCGGTGTTTTGTGCAGACTGACCTGTTCCAACAGTATTTTCTAAAGGACATTCTCTGAAATTGCGTAAGTGTGGTTGGTCATTTCTAGAGTGAACAGAGCTGACTCAGAAAACTTGGCCTTTTCAAACAGCTAGTAGAATTGATCTATATTTCTGTTTTGCAAATATGTTCCAAACGTCCGTGTAGAGGAGAAAGAAATGTGAAACCTTGAAAGCTGGGGTTTGTTCAATGGCCGATGAGCCGTCCTGCAAACCCATTTTCCTGTCCCGGCACTGTGGAGTAGAGCTGGTGCCTAGAGCACCAGTTGCTCTCTGGCGTGTCTAACCTATCAGTAATCTATCTCCTATCTGATGATTTCGTCGTGTTTGTAACCACTGTTGCTCTGCATGCCAGGTCCTTTGTGTGACCTGAACTTTCTTAGGTCAAAGGAACTTCAAAATGCGTTGAATACTTGTGGCCTCAGCAAAAAAAAGTGCATTCCAGATATCCCTCTGATAATTTTAGGTGTGCTGAGAACTCTCCCTGAAATTTATTTCTATAAATCTGGAAGTAAAAGGAGATAATTTGTAACAGGAAACAACCAAAGAGAAGAAACCAAAGAGAAATCCCATCACTTAATTAGTAGTTTATGATTAAAGCCACTTCACTGTAACTCATTTGAATGTTGCCATATCTTGAATGTTAATCTTCATGATAACTTTGTAACAGTAACAGAAAAGGACAATACCCCGTTTATATTGGAATTCTTCAAGAATCTCATGTTTAGTACACTTTGTTTGCAGGGCAGTACAGGTATCTGTTTTTTATAGAGAAAAGCATGAAAAGATATGGATTAAATTATTCCAAGGGGAGAAGTAATTGATTCCTTCCCTTAATCAGCTGCCATTTGGCATTGGGATATGAAGAACAGAATTCAGAAGAAAAGAAATTTTATCCTTTCAGAGACTTCATAAATTGTTGTGTTTTATTTCTTGTTTTCCACATCAGAAATTTAATTAGAATAGATTAAAAAATCATGAGAGAATGTGCAGTTGACTTGATCTTCAGCATTCTTCACAGTCATCCTTTATGAGGACCGTGCTTTCAGGAAGGAAAATCACTGAATTGTCAGCATTCAGTAAGCCGCAGTGTTAGGAATGAAAAAAAACAATTGGCAGTATGTAACTTGACCCAATTAATGCTTGTTATAAAAGCTTTACTTTCTGTCACATAACAAAAGTTTTCAATATTAAACATAATCTGGAGCACCAGTTAATGTGCTTCCAAGTCTTCAATTTGATGACTAACAGTATCTGAGACACTCTAATGATATGAGAATGAAAGTAAGTTGTTTTGCCACTGTTGTTAGGCAGCACTTTTAGTCAGCTTACAGTGAAAGGAACACTCAGTTATATTTACAAATCAGGCATGCGGTACATATTTCTTATTTTTTTATTTTCTGTCATTTTTGTTTAGAAATATTCCTTGTAAAGAGAAAAATTCTTCTTAGTAAAAACAAATGAAAATCTGTCGCATCATATGGATGAACCTGAAGTGTCTTTGTCCTTTGTGTTTCACAAAGATATCGACATGTATGAAATAATGAAAGTGTGGGGGAAATAACCTTCTTTTGAATACAGCTGAATTTGAAATTCTTTGTTTATTCCTGTCATTTTAGTTCCTACAAGATATTCTCGACACGTTGTTTGTAGTTTTGGATGACAACACAGAAAAGTATGGTCTGTTGGTCTTTCAGTCTTTGGTAAGCTGCTGAATTGTTACTCTTCTTTATCTCATGGTCCGTGAGTTTTAAGTTTCTTATTATCACGTTGCTAGTATTTTACTTCCATGAAATATTCAGCTGGATCCAGCCTTATGTTTTCTGTAATAATCTTGGGTAAGGAGGGCAGGACAGCCTCAACAGATCCGAGGACAGCAATATTTGCGATCCCTTGGGAGAAGCAAACAATAACATCTCATAACACAACTACTGACTGTTTAAAGAAACTCATGTATTTCATTGGTGCTTAGCTTGTGTAACTTCTTTATAGAAACCTAGCAACAATGTGCAATTTCCTTTAGTATGGGTTCACTTTTTCATCTCCCACAGGTATTCATCATAAATCTGCTGCGTGACAGCAAGTATTTTCATTTTCGACCTGTGATGGACACTTACATTCAGAAGCACTTTGCAGGAGCACTGGCTTACAAGTAGGTTTTGTTTATCCATCACTTCAGGAGATGGTATTAGCAAGCTTTTGAATGATGTCACCATCAGAATCATAACCTTCGTGTTAACAGTGGTTTTCAAAAGTAGAACTACTCAGATGAAAGTTTTCCAGCACAGTTATAGAGGAAAGCTGCTGAATGTCACCTGTGGCTAGGAATGAGCAGGCTTTGGAATTTATCTGCCTTTCTGAACTGGCAAATCTTACTTTCTTGGTTTTTTAACCGAAGAGACACTGTCACTCAGCAGCAACTCATTATCAGTCTGTGCTAATGAGCTACCAAGAGCATATACGTCTTAGGGCTGTTGGGATATAAGACTGGTGTGAAAGATTAGAGGACTAATTATAATTTCCTCTTCCAAAGTAGACAGGTATTCACACAAGATGATGTTCTATTTGATTACAGTAAATGTATAATTTCAGTAGATCAGAAACTTAATTTTTGCTGTCACTTTGAAGGTTCTGCCTTATTTTCTGGTATTCTTTTCTGAGTTTTGCATTTTTGAAAGCAGTAACAGTTATCATTCAGGGTGTTGTTTTTCCTTTCTTTTAGACCGTTTCTTTTGTATATTTGAGCATATGCTATCTTTGGCCACAATAAACTATTAAAAACAGTTTATAGTTGGTTTTGATTCTTTTAAGCCATTCACATTTTAGTGTGATTAAAAAAAAAAAAAAAATATTCTGTCAATGGCAGGTAAAAAACTGTAGATAGTATACAACACTAGACGGCATACTCATGTTCAGAGGGTAAAAAGGTGTTCTGCTTTGTGTTAATTATCACCTCTTTCAGACAAAACAAATGATTTTTGGTGGTCTGATGTCTGAAATAAAACGTGTTTGTAATACAACTCTTTAAGTTAGTCCAGATGGTATTGCGTACTTAGGAAGAAGATGCATGTATTTTCTTTGTGATCTTAGTTTCTAAAAACTTCTTACTTGGAGGAGATCTGGAATTTCTTATTTAAAAAAAAAAAGTATGCTTTGGTCTTAGAACTATATTGCATGCCTTTATCAAAGCTATCTCTTTAATAACATCTTTTTGATGTTCTCTTAGTGTTTCTCATGGTCTAAGTCAATTACAGACAAGAAATTATTTTCTGGTTTTGAAACTTAAATGAACTTATATATTATGGAAATTCAGTAGCGAGGACAGCTATAGCTGAACTCTGAAATGGAGTGAAATGAGACTATTTTATAGATTTCTCCCTAAAACCAAAATGTTTGTTGCCTGACTAATTTTAAAATAGGGCTGAAGGTTCCTCTTCTTTTCACTGTTTGTTATATTCAGAGAACTGATCCGGTGTTTGAAGTGGTACATGGACCGCTCAGCTGAGCTTGTGCGCCAAGACCACATCCAGGAAGCAATGAGAGTATGTATTCAATGAAAGTATTTGTGTGTCTGTTCCATCTGTGACTACAAAAGGGCCGGGGAAGCTGTAAATAAAATCGAGGATAGTCTGGCACTGACTTCTTATTTGTTTAACTGGAATTTGTTTTAAAAATATTTTGCCAAAATTTTAATTTAAGGGGGAGATTCACTCTTTTGCAGAAAAAAATGAAAGAACTATGTCTCCTTAAGTCCTTTTGAAGCCCTATGGAGAACTTAAGTGGGACTTAGATGGAGTATGTATGCACTGGCCATTTATATATGTGGTCTACACCTTGCACTTTAAGAAGCAGTTATTTTAAATGTATTAGCACAGATGTTGTGGATCATTCACTTCTCGCTGTGACACAGCTTCATTGTATTACTGGTTGAAGTTCTGGAGTATTTAAGAAGCAGATAAATAAGCCTTTAACTAGGTTGCAATTCTAACAACTGGCATTGCACAGGACCTGAATCACAGTTCCGTGGTGAGAGTATGATCTCGCAGGAAGGCACAGCTTTCTAATGGTGTGTGAAACAAAGAGAATATTTTTGGTGCTATTACAGAGAAATCAGAGAATAAATAAAGTATTAGTTCTACCATGTGTAATTGTAAAACAGAAAGATAGTGTGTGAAGTACGTAAATACAAGATTTGAAAATCTGCAGGAAGATATTTTTCTTTGAGTGAATGTCCATCTGTACCTTCTTACTCTGAGTAGGCTTATATCCAAACATTTGAGTCAGGGCACTTTTAGAACTAGTAGCAGTGGCAGAGATTAGCACTTTCTTTTTTTCACTTTTCCATGTCAGTACACATAGGTGAAGCATCTCACAGGTGAAGCACACACATATATATACACTACTCCTTTAATTTCTGGCAACCATTTGGGAAAGTTGGAGATTGTTCCTTGTAAATGTATTTATGCTTGTGTCTTGGCATACGTTTCAGACTTTATTATGGCTTTTTCTTTCTTCTTGTGATATTTTTGTCCTTTGTTTTGCCTCCTTTAGTCTAATTTAGTCAGTATTTTTGAAGAAGTAATTTTTATTTTTTGAGAATCCTTGTTCCATTTGAATGTTATGGCATCACCGCCATCAACTAGCTTTCAAGATCTCCTGTTAAGATCATATCCTGATACTCATAAGGGCTTTGTGTTTACTTTGTCTTTTGTAGATATTTACATACTTAGAAACAACTTATTTGTAATACTTTTCAACCACAGATTCATAGGGAAGGGTAAAAACAGGGCAAAGATGTCTTTTCAAGAAATTATCAGCTTTCTCATTCTTTTTGTTTCTATTCTTATCCTTCCTTTTTTTTTTTTAATGACAAAGAAACCTATTAAAATTAGGAGATGAGATGAGAGGAAGACCTCTAGCTGGAATGACTTCTAGAAGGTTTTCTTCCCTCTCAAACCACTCGTTAGTGCTATATGCAATGCAGCAAATAGAGATGTATGTGATATTGTCCCTATGTGGTTTGCATTTTTTGAACCTCATAGTAGTCCTCTTCAGAAGTATTAAAATTATGACTGCTGGAATGTTTTTCAGAAACTTGGTTATTCAACATACTGTTTGTGAATAAGGTACATTCTTTCAAGGATTCCAGAGCAGCTCTTTGCTTACTGGGAATCTCAAGTGCTTGCCTAGGAAGTAGCTGTTCCCTTCATGGGTGAGGTCAATTTGAAGACCTGACAGCCCAAGCCTTTCCAAGCACAGGAGTTATAATTACCACCAGAGTTTCTGCAGACCTAACAGTGTATCCTCTACCACTGACACTGCTGTCACATCTTCTTCAGACAGTTGCCTTTGCAGGTATATCTTGGAGGCCCAAATTAAGGTCCTTATCTTCTTTCATTACAGGAAAGTGATTGACTTCCTTCTTTGTTTCCAGATTTTATTTCAGGCATTTGGAGCAAGTTTGTACCAAAACCAATATCATTGCTAATGTGTCATTACTAGTTCTATATTCTACACTTGGGAATTTCTCTGGTCTTGGATGTCTTCACTACATTCCTTGCGTTAGTAGTTCTTTAACTGAGAAAACAGGATAGCGCTCTATCCCTTTTTCCCTGAATTAGCTGTTAAATGTAGTACCCTAAAGCAGGTGTTGAAATATCTCTGCACTCTTTTTTGGCTCTTTACTGCCCACGTACATTCATGATGGATATGCAGACGTCTCATGGGATTCCGATTTTCAACCTTGGCATTAGCAAGCAGTGCTCTAGACTGTTTCTAAAATTACTTATCTCCCTCAAGACTGCTTTTAATTCTCAAAAAACTTCCATGAAACCTGGAGGAACTATAACTGAAAGGACATCTCTACCTGTACTAGAACACATGGCATCATGTTCTTTTATTATGCCCTATAACAAGCTCCATGTAAGCTGCATCCAGATACAGCTGCCTGTGCCTCCCTGGAGAATTCACTAATGAAGTGTCTGTATATGGCTCCACAGACAGTTT